TGACCAGAGGGGTATTCTACTATTCGTACGACTAGTTCCCCATTTCTCTTATAACTACAGTACAGCCTCTCTCCCTTTCCCTCTCTCTCTCTCTCCCTTCCCTCTCTCTCTCTCTCTCTCTCTCTCTCTCTCCCTTCCCCTCTCTCTCTCTCTCTCTCCCCCTCTTGTTTTGAAGTTTGAACCATTTCTTGATTGATGAGTGTCATCGTGGGGGCCATGCTGATCTTCTCTGTATCGTTCCAATCTTAATGGATGCCCCGAAGGACTTCGCAACTACAGCCTGTTTATCTGATTGATCTATTCGGGTTAGGTAGAAGTTACTCAGTCTGAAGACTCTGAATATGCAACTTGCAATAAACTCAGTCCAAATTCGTATAGCCGCAGGCTATGGGTCATCACTTTTTTGTCAAAGGCCTGAAACTGGGGTCAAATAGCACGTCCGAAGTCGGGAAATTGCCAGAGAAAGGACCTAGGGTCATGGGGTATCCTGGCCTGAGTCAAAAGCTGCATCCTGAACTCCCACGAGGGACAGTTGACTTTTGGAAAGTCAACAGTCAGAACCAGCATGGGAGAATGAGGCCCAAAGTCAAAGTCAACCCACTGGTCAGCCACGGCCGTGTACCCAGCGGATGGGTCGTACAACCGACGAGAAATCTATGCACTGCCAGTCAACGAGTGTGGGGACCACACATCCTACGCCCGCCAGCTAGGATAATAATGACCAGAGGTACCACACTGATTCCAGATCCCAAAGGACCAGCCTGTGACAAGTGAAATTATGACCAACATAAACTCGTTGAGCAGCATCCACGAGTCGACCAAACCGAAAGCAGGACTGGCAAGGCCAAGGTCACACCAACCCCAGAACGCAAACAACACTGGAGTCTCTTGACTATGAAAGTCCTCGTCTCTCTTCAAATCAATCAATACGCCAACAGAGTGGTGTCTTTCCAGAATAGATGTCACAGAACAGTCAGTAGATAGAGCTTTCAAAAAAAAAAAAAAAAAAAAAAAAAAAAGTATGTGTGCAGGCAGGCAGTACAGGCCTGCAGTTAAGTTCACTTTCTTGTGCTAGCTGTCTGTGTACGTCTCCCCCACAAAAAAATTGCTCGGCGGTGTTTTGATGTTCTTCCCTTGACTGCAGGAAGCAGAACACACATTATTGACACATGGAAACCAGAAGGATGTTTAAAATCCAGGCTCCACTCCATGTTTGTCGGGGGTAGCGCAGAGTTGAAGGATATCACGTTTGTGAGAATTCCCAGTGATTTCAAGGTATAAAAAGGCCAGCCTTACTGAGCAACTCGATGATTTTGAGTCATAAAAGTAATGTCCTCTAAAAGGCTCTAAGACCAAACTCACACCAGGACTTTCCAGTCTGAAGTTTGAACCTAGCGGTAGTGAAAAGCAGTCAGCTGCATCTGGGAAAGTACTCGCTATAGCATGCCCAGAAACTGTTTCCTACTTTTCAAATCAAGAAACGGCTAACATCCAAGTGCTGTTCTCTCTCTCTCTCTCTCTCTCTCTCTCTCTCTCTCTCTCTCTCTCTCTCTCTCTCTCTCTCTCTCTCTCTCTCTCTCTCTCTCTCTCTCTCTCTCTCTCTCTCTCTCTCTCTCTCTCTCTGTGTGTGTGTGTGTGTGTGTGTGTGTGTGTGTGTGTATGTGTGTGTGTGTGTGTGTGACAGAGGGCATACCCACACTCAGACGTTCCAGACGGCATACTTACTCTGAGACTTTGCAAGATGCACCTGACAATTATCACAGCTATAGATTCCATCGAGAACATCCAAATAAAGAAATTAGTAAACTTACGAAACTACATATATAGCTGTGATCACATGGTTTGAACTTTGAAATGAGATGATGGAATGCCCTCATTTTTCTTTCTTTATTTATTTATTTGGTGAAACTCCGACGAAACAGTTTGTCACAGCCCCTCGTTTGTTGTCCTCTTCTCCCTCTCTGCCTACGGTTTACCGGGCAGTTCTATTTGACGATATATATATAAATTAGCTCCATTCTATTGGTGGGGATCTGCACCTGCTGGAAACCGGGTCCAGCGTCCCTCATACATATTAACCCAGTTCATGACTTTAAATACAGTACTCAGAGAGTGGGATCTGCCTCTTCAGCCTAGACTTAGGCCGCCAAATACTTCTTCCAAAGCTAGCATCACATTGGTATCAAATTCTTGGTTATAGTAAGACATCCTCCTAATTGTAAACCATGTAAGGTGGAAGGCTTTCCATAACCTAAACCTTTGATTCTCGCTTCAAGTCTTCAACTGACTTAATTCCTGATGGAATAGCAGCTCATGGCATCATGCTCCATTCTCTTTTTTTTTTTTTTCAGCAGTAGCTTGAGCAGCGTGATTGGTTGAATAAGATAGCCACCTATCATACAGCTCTCCAACTCAACTTGGTTCATCTTTGGGCATTGAACAGGGTCCTGACTGCCCCTGCAGCTTTTTCATCTGATGTAAGCCTTGGGCACGGGAGGAGGGGGGGGAAGGGGGGGAAGGAAGGATCAGAGAGGAAAAGAGGACTGTATTTTTCGTTTCTGTTCTTTTTTTTTGTTGTTGTTGGATTTACCTGCATTCAATGGCCTTCGAGAAAATCTCCACCCCACAAGTTGCCATCAGCCGTCCCCCCCATGGCTGATGCGCTATAAGAGGTCGGATTCATATGCTCCAGCATCGGACGTGCTCTGCACCACAGACCGTCATGAATACCAGTTAACGACCAACGTTTATCCCGTCCAGCCTCCAATACAAATTGTCAAATACCCATTTGAGACAAAAGTTTCACCCATTGTAGAAGTCGACAAACTCCCAAAGGTGCATTCTAATGCTTCCCAGCCTTGTGCATCATCGAGCATATGACCCACGTGACCCCATCCTGCTCCCTGCATGCTTAACAAAGGCTATATATTATAATTCGCACAACACGGAACCAAAAAAAAAAAAAAAAAACACATACACAAAGGGTTAATGACAGACTGTCTTGTCGGACTTGCAGCTACTCATCAGAAGGTTGGACCCTTGACAATCTGCAGAATCCCCATATTCATGCTTTGCGTCGCGACTCAAACTACTTTGACCCCTGTTGCAAAGTAGACAGCCAGGACGATGACGACACAAGCAGCAAGGTAAAGGCAAAAGACAACTAGCCGCCATGGGATAAGCCACACCAAGTCACATAGGCCGGAGGGCATGGGGAAGGCGGGTGAGCAGTCAGACGGCAAGGCAAGCAACAGGGAAGCATGATGGGCAGCAGACAGCCAAACAACAAGGCAAGCAGCAGTGCGACCCGATGAGCAGCGGGCACAGAGGCAGCAAGGCCTGAAAGCAGTGGGAAAGGGAGAATAGTGGTGGAAGCTGCTGTTTGTCCATTTCCCCTGTGCTTTCCACTTCAAGTACTCCATAGCCAATGCCCTTATAGAGGCTGGAGCGCTCGAGCGAGTTGGCGAAAGTCGACGTCGGTGGAACAAAGTGGAGTCAGCCCCGTGAAACCAAAGTGTAGAGACCGCTCGACCAGCTTGGAGCATCATCACAGCAGGAGGATAATCGGCGAGATCATCATCAAGGGAGCTCTTCTTCATTCTTGTGTTCTTTTGTTGTTATTTTTTCCTGAGCAGGTTTTTTCGTCAGAAGCGTTGGTTTATCGTCAACATTGCCGCTGGTTGTCTTCACATATCAAAGCTGCTCGTCATTTACGTCACCCGCATCTTTGTTTTTGCCGCTGGTCGCCATCTGCATTTCACTGTTAACAGTGGTCATCATCACCATTTCGCTTCCTTATCTTCTTCATGATCATCATTCGGACTTCCCCGTCAAAATCGTAATCATCGTCATCTTCTATTTTCATTACAGCAATAGTGAGCTGTCAATCTTCCACACCGGTGCTATTAGGGCATCGCAACTCAAACGTTCCTTACTTATTTCTTGCCAATTTTATTTCATCATCATCATCATCATCATCATCATCATCATCATCATCGTCGTCGTCGTTGTCGTCGTCGTCTACCAATCTGAATCTTTATCATCATCATCATCATCATCATCATCATCATCATCATCATCATCATCATCATCGTCATCATCATCATCATCACGGTTTCTTTATTCATTTTTTGATCAATCAGTAGTTATCTTTGTGTTGGTGGTTATATTCTCTTCGCCCAGATAGGTTATGGTCTAGTTGGTAGGTAGGTCGGTCAGGAAGGGAGCGCTACTCCGCAGGGGTAACACCAGGTGGGAGGTGATTGCCCTCTAGGGAGTAGACGCAAATAATGCGAGCTGACCTGGGCTGGGGCTGGGAGATATGTATGGGGGGGCATATCTCCTGACGGAGGCAGACTAGGTCAGAGTGTTAGATTTGAGGTACACCTTTTGGAGGAACTGGTTACTTCAAGGCAGAAGGGAATGGGGATATTATCTCTCTCGTTGGGGCTGATAGGAACTTCATGCTGATAGCAGGGTTCATCTCAGCAGAGGCAGCGAGAGGAGAAGAGAAGAGGAAACAAGGGGAGAGGAGGAGAGTACATGGAGGAAGGGGAGGGGTGGAGAGGAATATTCATCAGCATCCTCATCATTATCCATCATTTTTGTGATCATCTCAGGCTACTCGTCAAATTTCATCATCAGAAAGTTTTTTTTTATCAGGATTCTGATATTATCAGATCCTAGATTTCTAGTTGGCATTCTGGGTTAGCTAATTTCCTAATTGAGCCTTTTTGTGTAATGGCCAGGTTGAGTTGCCGCCAGAAAGACACTGGCCGGCGCTGGGGCAGTGCCCTGTAACCTGCCTCGATAAGGTTGCAAAATTTGCCATGAACATATCGTTCTCTCAGCAGAGTTTCAAGCTTCGGCCGACACTTCCAGAAATCCGGTTGTGGAGAGGCCGCGCCCTCTGCCATCGATTCGTGACTGACGCCCTTCAGTTCCCCGTTGAGTCGGAGCTTGAGGTTTTGTATAGAGGTCTGGGATTGTCGAGGGAGGAAGGCAATCTGCAAACTTGACTAATGGCTACAATCTGGCCGACAATGGTCGGAGCTGGGGTGGGTGGCGCTGCCCTGTAACCGAGCCAGATTGGGGTGTGAGACCGGGAAGAGGCCTGATTGGTGCACAGCACAGGCTCAGTTGTGATTGGTTGGTTGGAATGGATACGGGAAATTAGGGATAGGATAGTATTTGAGTGCTGAGTAGACAATCATT